CTTCGGTCGTATCGCATTGCGAATGATTTGGCGATATCCGAGTACGACATTGGACGGCCTTGAAAGGCGGGTTGCAGTTTATACCCGCCAAAAATTGTTGGGGATGAAAGATACTCGGTATCTTCGTCCAGAAGGATTGAAAGAGGCCTACGGCCTTCGCCAGGAGCCATCCTTATACCGTACTCACCGTCCTCCGCCGACAACATAGTTTCTTGTGCGCCGGGGTTAAGAGGCTCAGCATCTTCCTCTTCATCTTCCTCCGGCTCGACGTTTGCGTCCGCAATGGGCTGGACGTGACAGTGCTGCATCAACCAGTCGTCCGAAAGAGCAGTACTGTAGGATTGATAAAGTGGTTGAGCCGTAAGGTGCGCAGCAGCTTGCCAGATGCAGTTTGGTCTGAAGTTGCCAGTAATATAGTTGCCTCTGTACTGCATTCGTCGTGCAATACGAACATGCACGACGTGCGCATCAGTGGGAAGACGAGGAAGAAGGGACACTGTCGTGTCGACGGAAACTGGGACATTAACAATTCCTCCCTTGCATCGGAACTGCCCAGAAGGACCGTGTGACGGCCAGATTGCCTGGAAAATATGAAGTGCAGCTACAAGTCGTTCTTCTAGTCTTGTCAAAATCTGCAGTCTGCGGTCCACGACGGGAAAGTGCAACCCGTTTGAAAGACAGTAACGAGGTTGCTTCCAGCACTTAATGCTCTGTACGCACGTTTTGCAGAAGAAGCATTCTTCGACTTGCTGTAGGTAAAATACATTTCTTATAAGATTTCTTCGGACTTCATTTGGGCCGCTAGCTTGCTGCAGATGTGAAATTTTGAGTACAGAAACAGAGCGTCGGAATTCTAATCTGCCGCAGCAGTTGCACGTGTACGTTGGCCCTTCCTTGATTGCATTTTCGTACGCTTCAACACCTGATGTGTAAGGATGCTTCTTTTTTGCTGCTTCGCTTCCCGATTCCTAATGCGTTCCTGCTAACGCATCTCACCGGTACTTCATCGATGCTGCATTCCCAACGCATTCTCATGACGCTCCCTCTCCGTTTCATCGGTACATCTGCGAATCCGCATTGCTCGACTATTAGCTTCTCTCTCTCGTTGTCTGTATTCCAAATTCTCCGCCCTGCGCACCCTCATTGATTCCAAGTTCATCTCCCTTTCGTTTTTTCTGTACTGCAGGTCTGCCTCTCTGCGTTGTCGCATTGCTTCAGCATTTGTAACCCTCTCTCTTTCTCGGAATTCAACGTCTGCCGCTCGTCGTTGTTGCCTTGTCTCAGCATCTACAAGCCTTTCCGATTCGCAATAGTCGGTCTGTCGACGTTGTCGCATTGCTTCAGCATTTGCAATCCTTTCCATTTCTTGGTATTGAATATCCGTCTGCCGACGGTGTCGCATTGCTTCAGCATTTGCAGTCCTTTCCATTTGTTGGTATTCGACGTCCGTCTGCCGACGGTGTTGCATTGCTTCAGCATTTGCAATCCTTTCCATTTCATGGTATTCAAGGTCCGTTTCTCGACGCTGTCGCATTGCTTCAGTATTTGCAATCCTTTCTTTTTCCCTGTATTCCAAGTCTGTCTCTCGTCGTTGTTGCTTAGCTTCGGCATCTGCAATCCTTTCCCTTATTTTGTAGCCTTCATCGGAAGCCCTGTGTTTTTTCATTGCCTTCCTGTTCGCAGTATTTTCTCTCTGTTTGTAGTCATGATCCTGCCGAAGCAACCGCTTGCGATGCACTGCTTTTTCGTGTTTTTCTACTGCACGACTATCTGGACTATTTGGAACCGCATTTGCTGCAAATTCGGCATTGCAGTTGCTCGCTTCTTGCGTACTGTTTGAGCGGCTGATGTCTGAAAGAAGATTTAAAAGTAGAATTTTGCAGGAAAAATCTGTCCGAAAGAATTTTGAAATGGAATTCTAATCCAAAAGTACGTGGTTGGTTTCATGTAATTGCCAACAAATGCATTATGTCATAACAAGAGTCAAGATTTGGTGTGGCTATACGCTTTGGCATATACGTAAATGCAAAAACGTATGTGGTGACAACTCATTGTATGCATGTGGTATGCGTGTTTGTTCGTGCGCGTGTGTTTGTCTGCCCGAGTATTTCAACTCGATAGCCAAGCAAGCTCTGGAGCTAAAATTCTGCCAGTGGTTTTCCCTGCCAACTTTCATCTCAGGACTGCGGTGCCAGTCCTCACACACGTCTAGCCCCACGTACAGACACGTGAAAATTTTGGCCGAAATACACTGGAAAGCTGAAATTTTAAAGAAATGTTCCCTAATCAATTACCACGTAATTGCACAATTACCATTTTAAACTTCGAGGACCGGTATTCTTAAGAATCTAGCTATTTGGGATTCCAAGCGATCTTACTGAAGCACAAAATGCAAAAACGCATGTTTGCACAGGCCTGGTTGGTAGGCGTCGCCGATAATTTTGAGAAGTTGCATGGGATTGAGAAAAATGAAGTTTAATTCAATCAGTAATGAGTTCTATGAGTAATGACAATGCATAATGATGTGTTTGCAAGCATTGCTGTTCATTTTAGCGCATTAAGAAATCAGAAATATCGTAGTGCTAAAATACCTAAAGCTGTTTGCTGCAGACCGCGACTTGTACTAGGTTCATCAGAAGCGTTCCCCACAGAAGCTGTGGAAACAAGATGGGGCCGCAATAGTCGATGAGCGACAGCATCACGTACTCTTTCAGCTTGACGATAGGATTCAGATGACCGACATCGGCGTTTCCGTTCAGCAGCAAGCTGTCGTTGTCTTTCCAGGCTGCTCTGTCTTTCCGTTGCGCTTAACCTTCTT